TACGTATATTTATATACGCAGTTCTATGAGTACTTACTCACGGTTGGTAAAGCAAGTAATGAATAATGGCCCAATAATATTTTCTTCGTACAATTTTTCGCTCGTGTAAGTAGCTGTGATTTAGATTATATTTCACAAGTCATCAGCACGTATTCTGCTTCGCCTATAATAAAGACTATGTACGTATATTGGTGAACAATAAGAGCCTCAAGAATTCATTTAATAGCTTCGATAAATTTTCATTAGTAGACCTTTACTAAAATGATACTTTGGTATGGTATCCCAATTTTTTTTTTTTTTTTTTTATTGCTTAGATGGGTGGACGAGTTCACAGCCCACCTTGTGTTAAGTGGTTACTGGAGCCCACAACGTAAATGCGCCACCCACCTTGAGATACAAGTTCTAAGATCTCAGTATAGTTACAACGGCTGCCCCACCCTTCAAACCGAAACGCATTACTGCTTCACGGCAGAAATAAGCAGGGCGGTGGTACCTACCCGCGCGGACTCACCAAGCGGTCCTACCACCAGCTGTGTTTAATAGATGATTACATTAAAAACTAATAAGGCACGCTAAGATTAATATGCAAGTTTACATTTAAAAGCAACGGCCTCAGTCAAATTTGGAGCATGATGAAAATAATACTGCTTCCTGTATGAAATCTGACTGTATTCATTCCGACTGAACTGTCGGAGTGAACCAAATTTGAATTACTTTTCAAATGAATTCAGAGCATACTTAGCGAGGTTCGGATTCGTGTTTGCAACGAAACGAAACTAAGTAATGCTGACGTCACATTTTATTACAAAATTTATATGATGCATACTAATTCTACAACGAACAGCACCGGGTGTGCACATGTCGTTTATCTTTTTGTTTTATAGCTATGGTTTATGACCGCACATGATTTGCATTTTCGGTTTAAATTCACGGAGTTTTCGTCCGAATTATTTTAATGTTTATGTCAGGTTGAACTCGCCAAAAAGTTCGATGTTAAATTTATTCTATATCAGCCCGCTGAGTTTCGCGCTGGATCTTCTCAGAGCGTCGCGATTCCGATCTGATAGTTGTTCTAGGAACGCTACTGCAGCTCTTAGCAAAGTTTTCCCTCCTAGCTGAGCCCCTGAGTTCGCCTACATGGCCCAGTCAAGCTAGATAGGGTATTCAGCCATCGGCAATCCCTCCAAAACCGAAAAACCCGATTAACATATTGTCTCTCAATTATATCTTTCTGATTCATTGTCATAAAACTATTAACTGATTTTGTAATCTAGAAAACTGAGTTGAACAAAATTGCGATCTCATCCTTAGATTCTAATTGCTGACAATCTGATATTTTTTAAATGAACTATGGTTTTTTACGAAGGAATTTGTACACTAAATTGATTGTCATCAATAGTAATATTGTTATTTGGAGGATATTAGCATTTCAAAAACAACAGTCGTAGTTGTATTAGCGTAGAATTATCTATACTATTTAATATTATATAATATGTGAAATTTTATAGGATTGTACTATGTACCTATGTTACTGAATCATGCCAAAATAGCTAAAAGGTTTACAACTAAAAGAACGCGGAGACAGAGTACTTTTTATCAGTCAACGCCGGTTAATTATGCGTATTCATAATTTAGTGATTTTCCGATATCATCATCGTAGAAGAAGCTTGTATTATTTAAATTGTTGTTGGACAAATTAACAGCCTATTTACTTTAAAAGCATAATAAGATTTCAAACACACAAACAACATGTTTACCATACCGTAATTGTCTGAATGTTTTTATCTTATCTTTTGAAAGCTCCATTAGATACATAAACTGTTATTTGAGGCTTAATCAAATACAATATCATGTTAAGAAATATATAATCCTTGATCTCGGGACCAAGTGAACACACTAAGCACCGATCGCATCCCCCTCTTCCTCTTCTAATGCATTATCCAATGCTGATCATCGTGATGCGCCCAACTCAGACATTTTCTTGTGATCTATAACCGCTTATGTTGGTTAGTTCTCAGTCTCGTGTCCAGGTGTTGGAGCACTTGAACACTCCATCTTTTCTGGCTCTGACTCCTAGATCATGTTCTCTCCCCTTTGCCGATCACTATGAGTCTCAAAATTGTCAAAGAGTTTTCTTCATATACGACCAAAATACTGAAGCATTCTAATTTTTTTCCTACCTATGCTTTAAGAGCCTATTTTAGCTTCGCCTTAACATGTAGGCGAGCTCACGGGGCTCAACCCGGAATTGTTGCTAACACTGGCCCTAGCAAGAGCAGTGCTTCGCAGAATCTATCACCGGATCGGAAACGCGACCCACTGAGAAGATCCGGCGAGAAAGTCAGTGAGCTGTGTCTATGGGTTAAAGTTTATGGTAGATACCGAGCGGTACCGGCTACCATAAGGACAGCGAAAAATAATAAATTGCCTATTCACAAAATCTACAATGGCATTATTGAAGTTAATTGTGTTTTTAAAATCCACGATACGAGTAAGAACAAATTCGACGAACCTTAATTTGATTGCCAGGACATTTTTCATTTAGAATTCAAATTAATAAAAGTTTCAATCTAATTACGAGTTCTTTTTTAAAAGTCTCTTGGAAAATTCTGAGAAATAAAAGCACAATTAGAACTTTTATTTTTTCAATGAAATTAAGACTTTGACCTCGTGTATGAGGTCATTTGCGTAAATGATAATACATTATAATTCAAACGACCATACTCATATTCTTCGAAATATTTATTTAGCTATTAATTATATTACAATTGCTTTCCTCGAATTCTCAAAACGAGTCTAGTACGATTTAGTTAAAAATAAATTGAGAAATTGTAATTAAAAGTTTAGAAACAACTCTTTGTAGTAATATAATCAACAAAGACACTTAATGAAAGTCGAAAATTTCCTAAACTAATTTACTGAACGAAATAAAAGTGAGATTCGAAGCACGAATAGGATTGGAAGTTTTCAAAGAAACGGCTTTTATATTTAATAATAATAGTAAAAAAAAAAGATACGTTAAACAAAGTTGATGAACGGTAACAAGTCAAATATGTGAGAAGTGAATCATATAATTCTGTTTAGATCGAGAGTACAAATATATTGAACTGTGACGTCATCATTTTACCCATCCTAAAACTCGTTAATAGAATCGGTTTGGAAATATGAATAGAACATTACCTCTAACACGCCATCAAAAACTTTAAGCTTTAAGATGTTGGAGCTTCATGAGCTGATTTATACAATTGGTTGGGTTCGTGTAGTATTATATTTCAATTACTCTCTTCTTGGCTAATATCGGCTACGGCGGCCTCTTAAACTCCATATCTAATTGTCACAGTGCGCTCGTATGAGGTTAACTTAGCCGTTCTTATTCCTAAAACTAGGTAGGTACCACCGCCCTTCCTATTTCTGCCGTGAAGCAGTAATGCGTTTCGGCTTGAAGGGTGGGGCAGCCGTTGTAACTATACTTGAGACTTTAGAACTTATATCTCAAGGTGGCTGGCGCATTTGCGTTGTAGATGTCTATGGACTCCAGTATCCACTTAACGCCAGGTGGGCTGTGAGCTAGTCCACCCAACTAAGCAATAAAAAACAAAAACAAAAAAAAAAGTTCGTGCACGATGTGGACATGTGAGCATGCCGTTATAATAGTTGTAAGAGATGGCACAAGGCTGTTGTGCTTTCAGTTCATCGCTTCGAGCATCTATTTCAGAACAGTGTTTCTCCTCAGTGTTTTTTACTCTGGTTTTCACCTCAGATTTCTGGTTGGTATTCTGGTATTCTGGCTGTCGAACGGCTCAGAAGACTCGATGACGCTATTCTTCATGTGACGCTTAAATACATCTCGTACCTGAGGAGTTGTCCGCCATGCTTACGCTTGCCCTCCTCAAGTTCCGAGAAAAATATGCACTTTGTCATACATTGATCTAACGGTATATTAGCCTCAATTCCCATGATATTGGCTTTCCGCAAAACTTCCGTATTCAGAATGCGATCAGACCAGCAGATGTTGAGAATTTTACGCAGACATTTCAGATGGAATCGGTCTAGCGTTCGCATAAATGGCAGCGGCTTACTGTAAATGACTTTGAAGAGTACAGTACGTTCGGCAGCATTACCACCCATTATTGATATTTCAATTATCTAATTGACTAAGCCTATAGCTATCAATAGGCATGGTATTACGAGTAGTAAAACGGGGAAACTTTTTCCAAAGAATACTTAGTTACATGTAAAAGCTACATATAAAGCTTTGACCTTAATTTATCCCATCGCACATTTTCACCAATCGCTTGTGACGAATTGATATTTTTCATGAGCCCTTCACGTTAAGAGCTGCCATTTGTATCATAGCGGCTGCAATTTATTGCCTTCATTTATCATCTCATCGAGTTCCTTTGGCGCGTCATAACGTAGTGGAGAGATCTAATATGCCGTATAAGTATTTTTATGAGACCTCATAATTACGTTTGAAGCTTATCAATAGAGATAATACTTCCAGACCCTTTGTTAGACGGTATTTTCGATGAAATAATTACTAACGATTAGTAAAGGTTATAAAAAAAAAGATGTGTGGTGTCGTGGGACACCGGATAGGAACGAAGTTCCTTATTATAAAAATATTAATTTTAAGTTCTATTCGAGGTATAAAGAAAATAATTATTCGGGTATACATTTTTTATTGATGAAAATAAATAAAAAACTACTTTACAAAGTTATCAACTTTATTTTATTCACAATGATTTATAAAAAATATATAATAATAACATACAAAGAAACAGCTATTTATATGAATAATAATAATAACCGTCATCATGTAGACTATACATTAGACACTGTATAGCCATCATACCAAGACTATACATAAATAATAAAAATCTTACGTGGCGGACGTTTTTTCCCGGTTAGGGTACCCCTCCGCATCGTCACATAAGGATCTTCGTTCCAAAAAAAAAAAACTAAAGACAATATCAGCAGAAATGAGCCATGAACTTAGAAACTATAACGGTATATAAAAAGACAAAAGTGATCAGTTTGGCGTCCGAGAGCTAAATTTAGTTAGTCGACAGTGAAGCGTGTTGTAATGGTGAAGTGTGTAGTCACAGCATGACCACGTGGATGGCGCTGTTTGGGCTAGTGTGGCTGCTGCGAGTGCGCGGCTCCCTCTGTGGTTGTGCCGCGTGCAAGCGCGTCAGACACGAGACCACCGAGATCCCGAACGTTAGCGCAGCCTCCCAGAGTTCACCAACAGAAGAACGGGCGTCTTTTGACGTCATCGCGCTACAGCACTACACTCGTGACGTCACCGTACAAACTGACTTCGAGGACGAAGAGATCGAGGACCTCGATAAGATCGAACTCCAAATATCTGAGGAATGTGAGTAAACAACTTCATAATTATTGAACTTTATTGTTTCCTATCTTAATAGCCCTATTACGAAGTTTGGGGAAACTTTAAATCTTCTTCTTCTCTTTAAATAATAATGAATTGCTGTTCGTTAGTCTCGCTAAAACTCGAGAACGGCTAGACCGATTTGGCTAATTTTGGTCTTGAATTATTTGTGGAGGTTCAGAGAAGGTTCAAAAGGTGAAAAAATATGAAAATGCTCGGAATACAATAATAATAACAATTTTGTTTTTCCTTTGATGTGTCCCCCGTCAGACCGATACCTTTTGTTTGTTTTAAGTTTATTTTGTACAAAAGTTTAGGCATTTTATTTATCGATTGAGGCACTACGAAATCTGCCGGGTCAGCTAGTACAATATAAAGATTGACTCAGTGGTGGTTAGTGGCCCTGACCGTTGCGCCGAGGGTCGTGGGTTCGGTTTCCATATCGAGCAAACATTCTTGTGATGAACAGGTTTGTTTAAATTGCAACTTATTTGCACTCTTTGTCTGGGTGTTTATTGTCTGTATATGTATATATTTAATCGTATTTATGTATGTATGTCAGTCTCTGGTACTTACATCACAGGGATCTTGTATATTTTACTATAAAATTTAATATTCACTTTGAGGGTTCATAAAATATTTCAAAGCTTTTCTCTCTACTGTGTCTATACTAAGAACGATAGCTTTAAAGCCAATACAAAATTCAAATTAATTTAATCAAGCCCGAGTTCTGTTACGTCTTGAAGGGTTGGTATCAAGACTTTTAATAAAACACTGATACAAATTTAAGTACATAATGCTCTTACTACATCTAACGAAATCTTCAAAGTCACGTGTAGTAAGTACATCGAAACATACAAAACTGTTACTTGTTTTTTTAAGCTCCTGTATTGTATTGGGGCTTCGGACAAAATCAATTACATTTACAATAAATTACAAATACCATGCATTATCTCTGCACCACCCTATGGTCGACTGGAAGAGAATGCCTATGGTATTAAGTCCGCCTGTGTACAAGTTTTGTTTTGTGCATAAAGTATAAATAAATAAATAAAATCACTAATGTCTTTTTGTAAGTGTCCTAAACGCTGATAATGAAACTCATCGTAAAATGAACGATAGTGATTTATTTAATATTAGAACAGCATATTACGATCGTCAAGCTACCGTTGCTAGTGATAAAGCATATTGTAAGCCAAGGCTAGTAGTAGTAATAATGGATAATTTGAAGGATGAAAGCATGCATGATGCAATAGGCATTGACTTGGCTGTGCGTCTGGCATTGCTGATGTCCACGGGCGACGGTAATCACTCCCTCTCGGGCGGCCCGTATACTCGTCTCCCTACTTGCCATAGAAAAGGCGTAATATTTAGTACCTAGTATATATAAACTGGAGATTAATTTCAGACTTAACCTCATTTCGGATTAGTTTTTTCTAGAAGAATCATTGGTCTTTACCGAATACTGAATTGAAAATTTTCGACCGTTTTATTTACTTACTTAAGTTACTTATCTTTACTATGATTTCATTGATCAACTGTCATTTGAATGTTATAAAAGATTATTTTTTTAATTTTTACAGTAACAGACATAGTTCCGAAAAATTACAACAGACCATAATAAACACTTAATGCTAATACTAGCATGAATAGAGCTTCGGAACATAATACTAGTAATCACTACCTATTTAAGTGCACTATAAACAAGTGAGTATTACAGCTACTCTTTAGCCGAAGGTTCTCATTTGTTTAGAAGCATTTACCTTGTAACTATTCAACGTGCCAGGAAATTACACTAGTTATTATCCTTCCACGCGGCCGTGATCCACAGCTATTTCCATTTCACCGTATCTCCTAATCTGGCACATATCTACCGTGTAATATTGTGCCATAAATCTTTCCTTACATCTCCCGGCGCCATGTTTACTGAGAAAATACAATAATACTCCGTGACGGTATAGAAATCGTATAAACTGTCATGTTACCGGCACTTCTTTGTTGTTTGAGAACATCGGGAGCTACATTATTACCGTTTTCTGTTAGAAATAAAAATGAAAAAAAAAACTTAGAATTTCTGTATCGGTTTGTCATCATTTTATCATTTTTCATGTCAAAATTTATGTCCGGGTCATATAAATAGACTTAAATTCCGAAAAAATAATGTTTAATTATTATAAAATTATTATGAAAAAAATGAATATTTTGCAGCCTATAATTGAATCATTTGGATATTTTGACACTGAATGGTCTCTTGAATTAAAAGGATAACTTTGATTCTCAAACTCTTTTTGTGTACACTATTATTTTATTTTCCCTTAGTTATATGAAATAAGTTATATGGGACACTAATTCATATTTTGTTCTTAATTTTGCGATATTGGTCTATATTTAGTGTGTTTTATTGTTTACAATATTCTAAATATTGTATAAAAATTGTATAAAAAGCACCTTCTACATGGCCGGTTTTTATGAAATGGCTCCGACATATGGAAAGGTGGACTGAACGAAACAACAAGAGCATATTATAATACATTAAAATAATATCGAGAGTTTTCCTACTTCTATATAATGCTTCTTAAATATATTCTTAAATGTATAATAATGCTTAATATACTTTTTGGATTATATTAGCATCATAAAATCCGGCAATAAGCTGCATTTTCTGCCAGATAATACTTTTACTTACCCACAACGACCTTTAGACCAATTAGAAATTTCTTCATGGACCGAGAGTGTGGTCGTTTCACAGATAAGGCTTGTCTCTTGATTTCGGAATAGTATGGTTCGTTTAATTCGTGACGATAATAAGATGATTAAATTGACCCAGATCACGTGCAACATCTAAATTGGGCTTCTGATTTAAAATTCACAGCATCGCTTTTTTTTCACTCATTAACCTTGGCGACATTAAGGACACAGTTTTATCGATACTTTTTTGGGCCTAGTGATTAAATCAATTCAAATCGATTGTAAAAGCAGACAAACGGAATCTAAAGAATTTTAGATGAATGCTTCAAATAGATTTTCTGTCTTTCAAAGTCTAAGCTTAGTATTGTCTTCAGAGATATTGAAGGCCACCAAGCATACCAACTTAATTTAATTATTTTAAATTCAGTAACCAACGAGAGCATTGAGTGGGAAACTGGAAAGTATTAACTTCTATTATCTTGTACATTTTTGCCAGCACAGCTACTAGGTAAAACTGTTCTACATTTTTGAATTTTCATAATAGCTCTTTGTACAACATAACTAATAAGTTAAGAACTGTAAGACGAAAATAAGTAAAAATTCGTTAATATTCTCTTTAGTACTCGTCAAAACAATAATTAATTTACTTTGAAATATTTGGTTACGTCGCAATGCGAACAACGTAACTTATCTTCGTACGTACCAATGTTACGTCTCATTGTAAATACAATCAGAAGATATCTTATCAATATCTGTCAACTGTTATCGTTTCTGTGTGCTGCTGGGACGAATACACATAAGACACGTTCAATTTATAAAAAATCTACGACATTGAGAGCGGGTCCAACTAAACACAATATGAATCCAAACTTTTTAAATTGTTACAAAAGTCTTTTTTTTATTGCCCTCTATATAGAAGAGCATGGGCCCATCTGATGGTGAGTGATTACCATGGACGTCAGCAATGCCAGCCAAGCCGCTGCCTATCGTTTAATACTCTCCACAAGCTTCGTTTGAAGAAGGACATGTTATGGCGCTCGGGAAGCACCGTAGAGGGGAGCTCATTCCAAAGCCGGATGGTGGCAAAAAAGATCCCTGGAATCGCACTGTGAATGCACACGGTGGTTCTAAGTAGTATGGATGAAGTCTACTCCGGTGGCGGGCGGTGCGATCATAAAAACAATCCCTCAGAGGACTCCCCATGGAACATACGGTACAAAATACAGAGAAAATCAAAGTCCCTCCGCAGACCCAGAAGTTCCAAGTTATCCGTGAGAATAGGATTATCGACAATGCGAACGGTCCTCTTCTGAATGGAGTCAAATTTTAATGAAAGTAACTAGTGTTTGGGAGCCCCGGCCCAGAGGTGGGAACAGTACTCCAGGCGAGCCCGGAATTGTGCTTTTTAAGGCATAAGTCTTTGTCCAGGCGTGAAGTACCGCTTTGCTCTGTTGAGGATTCCCAGCATTTTGGACGCCAAATCGGCTTTGCCCTTCAAATGACCTTATGACCTTACATTAAAAAAATAGTAAAGATTTGTTGTTAAGATGTAGCTAAGTGCACTAGGTTTAGATTTTTTTATTATAATTTAAAGCTGCTACATTAATTATTTCGTTACGATGAAGCAAAATCTCGCTGATCCCAACCCTAATTCTAACCATTATTGACTACGCTGATGCCTGTACTGGGGTGCCACTGAAGAGCTCTTAAGCAAACTTGAGAGATTGCAAAGCCTATGTACTCGCTTTATTTATAATCTCAGCAATCTCGACCATGTTTCTCATTTTCGCAAAGAGCTCAACTCAAATTTAGGCAGGTATTAACTTGGATATTATAATACTAAAACACTTTCACTATTGTTCACCATTCGTATACATAATTATTCGAAAGATCGGAAACAATAAATTTAGCCATTTTAGTGCTGAGATTATTTTCTCATATTTTGCAGAAATTCTTACAGGATTTTTGAAAAATAGTAATCTCCTCATAAAAAACTTTAACTAAATTACAAAATTACAAAAATCAATGCTAAAATCACAGCAAAATAATTTTAAATAGTTATTTATAAATGCTATTCACTTATTAAATACCCTATACACACATGCACGCGTACACACGTCCGTACAGGTCGATACCTAATACCTATAATTAAACTACGCAAGTAGTCGGTATTCCTACGATCCGCACTTTATACGCATTAATAGAGAGTCGATCTATCGACGGTTTACGCTCAATGGATTACATTCAAAAACGCTTTATTTTACCGTGGATTCTTAATTATACTTGAATATTACGATTCCTATTTTTTTCTCTGCTTATTACTAACGTGACTGATTTTTTCATTTGTACTCCTAGTCCATCTTATAGGTTTACCTAATTTTCTATCCAGACATTTACCTCCCACAAAAGCAATTTCTATAATATTTCCATTTAGTGTCCAGTTCAGATTGTGGAATTCGCTGCGGTTGATATTCGAGTTTAAAAGTTTGTTTCCCTGTTTAAATACAAAGTCTACGAATATTATCAGATATACTTACACTATAAAAATGCAATAATGTATTATGTAGAACAAACAAGTAGCACCGCATTTATTTTTTTATGACAAAAGATGACAATCTGATATTAGGACGTCTTCTGAGTCCGCACGGGTAGGTATTTACCACCGCCCTGCCTATTGCTGCCGTGAACTAATCATTCGTTCTAGTTTGAAGGGTAGGATAATCGTTACACAGTACAATTCAGCCTTTAACCTCATGTCTTAAGGTGGATCGCTCAAAGTACTCATGTATGCGGTCCCCAGAAACCTCTTCACAACATGCTGGTCGTGAACTTGTTCACCCATCTATGCAATAAAAATTCTGTAATACTCGAAATTTTCGGTAGGCAGCGGCTTGGCTCTGCCCCTGGCATTGCTGAAGTCCATGGACGACGGTAACCACTCACCATCAGGTGGGCCGTATGCTCGTTTGCCTACAAGGGCAATAAAAAAAAGTACATCTATATGCAAGTATTGCATATTTGTTATCTATTTCTGTATATTACTGTACTTTAATTAACATGTTTAATAGGTATTTCATTCTCTATAATCCTTCTACACATACAAATCAAATTACTAATCTAATACTCTTCTCGCGAGTAAAGTGGATGAGATTTTTAAAGAACTAAGTATTAAAGAACTATATATATATATATAGGTATATACATTAATAAATGAGTTAATCAAAAATACTTCAGTAAGGTCAAATTTTCGATAAACAAAAGAAAAACGCACCGCCCACCACTGGAGTAGAGCTCATCCATACTACCTGGAGCCACTGCGTTCATCCAAAATGCGCTTCCAGAAATATTTTTTGCCACATACCATCCGGCTTGGAATGAACTCCCCTCCACGGTGTTTCCCGAGCGCTATGACATGTCCTTCTTCAAACGAGGCTTGTGGAGAGTATTAAGCGGTAGGCAGCGGCTTGGCTCTGCCCCTGGTATTGCTGAAGTCCATGGGCGACGGTAACCACTCACCATCAGGTGGTCCGTATGATCGTCTGCCTACACGGGAAATAATAAAAAAAAAGTATTTTTCTTTGAGATATGGGTGCCGGAAACTTAATTGAGACAAGAACCAAAACTTTGAAAACCAAGTATCCGTCATGAAAATACTGATTCCGACCGGATATCGAACACGGACACTTAAGCACTTGACCAACAAGACAATCAAAAATGAATAACCAATATTTACTGAGCTCTCTTTTCAGATACTTTCATGTTATTAGCTAAATATTTACTGTGGCGTAAGCCGTGGTACACTCCTCACAACTCAAACATTTACTGAATATTCTGAGTTCGTTTGTATCTTTCACTTCCTTAATCTGTCTTTTTTTTTAAGGGATTTTATGACCTGGTAACTAAGACCTTTAAGTCATGTCTTATTTTAATTTATATTCTTAATTTTATGAAAAATGATAATATGGAGTGAAATGAAATGAAGATGATTAATTTAAGATATTAATCAACTGGGATGACATTAAATGAAATGAGATGATACGGGATCAAATATAATATCAGTAAAATGGTGGTCATTTACTGAGATTTTTTCAGTGGACTTTTTGGAGGATCCCGGGAAGTTACGTCCAGCGGCTTTGTTTGATTTTCCCACATTTGTGCACTTTCACAGATATTAAAAAGTTAATAAACCACCATTATTACACATTTAAACCTGAAGAAACACTAAATAGACAAAATAAAACAAATCACACAACTTCACTCCTCGCGTTCCCGCCAAAAAGTCCCCCTTAATCTGTCTTGTTAAACCATAAACACAGATTACAAACAAATCAAACAGATTAGTTTCTGTCGAGTATTTAATTTCTATTGATGAAATAAAATTGTTGAAAACATTTTCCTTTACGAAAATACAAATAATTTGATACTGTAGATTAATTATAGCCTATCACAAAATTTCTAAGTAAACAAAACACTGTAGTAATTGATCCAATCAAAATTTATTAATGTTATTAATTGAATAACATTTTGCTTCTGGCACCTTCTGTTTTTGTGATTTAGATTTAATGAAATTGTCCTTTGTTTTGCTTTTCAAGCTAACCTCTTTGAGTTAGACAGCTACTGGTCCAAACGCTTCTGGTAAAAATAAGCTTTTATTAGGTATACTTTTAGATGATGATTTTTGGAAACAGAACAAAAAATAAATTCTTTCAGAATTATTTCTGGTTTTCTTGGTTCTTTTGTCGACTAAAGGAGATTGGCCAATGTTATAATTATACATCTATCTGTTACCAAGTAAAACTTATGCTTTTGATAGATAGTGGTAAAGGTCTACCTATCTTTTGTGTCAGGAGGAAATCTGGTACCACCACCCTGCCTATTTCTGCCGTGAATCAGTAATGCGTTTCGGTTTAAAGGGCGGGGTAGCCGTTGTAACTATACTAAGACCTTAAAACTTATATCTCAAGGTGGGTGGCGCATTTAAGTTGTAGATTTAGGGGGTTGGTGCTTCCCGCTTCCGTAGGTTTAACCCGCGATTCCCTACAAGTGACCCCTGGGTGGTGCTAAACGGGAGCCGAAAACATAACCGGTGGTAGGACCTAGTCCGACTGGCTGGCGACCACCCTCCAACTAGAGTCCGCCGCCAAATAGCCTAGCTGTGTTCCGGCGTGTGGGTTGGAGAGCCAGTTCTATCCCTNCTTTTTTGCCACGTACCATCCGGCTATGGAATGAGCTCCCCTCCTCGGTGTTTCCCGAGCGCTATGACATGTCCTTCTTCAAACGAGGCTTGTGGAGAGTATTAAGCGGTAGGCAGCGGCTTGGCTCTGCCCCTGGCATTGCTGAAGTCCATGGGCGACGGTAACCACTCACCATCAGGTGGGCCGTATGCCCGTCTGCCTATAAAGGCAATAAAAAAAAAAAAGATGTCTGTGGGCTCCAGTAACCACTTATCACCAGGTGGGCTATGAGCTCGTCCACCTATTTAAGCAATAAAAAATGTCATTATTAGATAACATTGCTGATTCGTGACTTAGTACTTAAAGTAGTAATTTTCATTTTATTTTGGTCTGCCCTGAGATATCAGATTAAAGTCTCTCGACTGTTCTGTGATATTGGTTCTCCTACATATCGAACCGGAACGTAACCTAAGAATAGGCTGAAAGTAGTGTCTAGTCTGGAACTTGCGAAACTGGCATGAGACCTCTGCTGCGCTATACAAAATGGACAAAGTTTTTGTATCGATTGTTCTCAAAATAGGTTGTCGATGTCTTCCTAAACCAACAGAGCTCTTAGTGTAGCCTGTTGAATCTGAGTGATTCACCTACCTTGAAATAGAACAACGCTTAATTTGTTAATGATAAGCTTATTTGTCTACAAGAGAAAGGCTTAAAAATGGTATGATGCTATGATGACATGAACATATCAGCTAGTAGATAATAAAATTGCCATGCATAGCAATTGCAAATTTATTTATTTATTTTTAATATATTTTTTTGTAATAAAATCTCCGATTTTGGTTAGTCGTATCTAGTGCATATAACACTGAAAACATATTATTTTCATTTGCTTCAAAAGAAATAGGCGATTTTTTGTACAAAACTTTTTTTCTTCTTCCTGTATTTCTAAGAGAGCAGTTACAAGTCCGCATATCGAGATTCAAATAAATCTTTCTTTGCGTGTTTCGAATTTATGGATGCACGGCTCACTGAGTCTTTGCCGTATGTTAGCTCATTCTTAACTCGCTGACTCTTTGCTAAGTAATAAAAAAAAACGTTTTTACCGTTATTACAGTACAATTAAGGTTAAGGCTCCATTTAATCTTAGGGTGAGTGGGACATTGATTTTTTGTTTCGATTCGCTTTGATAGTCGCTTAATAAAATATATAACCGGGAACAAATCACACACGGTCATCCGGCCTTAATTAGGATTCCCTGTCACGGATACCAGAGACCGATATACTAAGTATATCCATATAATACTTAATGAGGGAGGTGCAGCCGTTGTAGATGTCTACGGGCTCCAGTAACCACTTAACACCAGGTGAGTTGTAAGCTCGTCCATCCATCTAAACAAAAAAAAGAAGATAATCACACAGGCAAAGAGCAAACAAACCTATTCATCACATGAATGTTTTGCCTGATGTGGGAATCGAACTCGCAACAGTCAGGAACGCTAACTATTGCACAGGCGAGTCAGTCCCTTAAATTAATAAGTATATCACTAGTACTAAAGTAGATTAGTACCTTTCATTACCCATAAAGATATTCTTAAATATTTTTGTAATTAAAAATCGTCTTTTATTGTACTGAATATTAAAAGCAGTATGTACCACCAACTAAATACAATATGTGCTAATTATTTTTTGACAATTCGAATTACATTCTCTGTCTGCTCACAATAATGTTTACAATTTACATTCAAATTTTTGTAGGTGTCAAAAACCTTTTATGTTTCTTACTTAACTTCTTCTTCTTATCAGCCCACAGACGTCACTACTGGACATAAGCCTCCCCTAAGCCTCGCCACAAATTAATTAATAATTATTACTTAACTAGCCGCATTAAATCCATAATTGTATATAATATAAATGCAGTAACGTTATCTTTTCGTTTTAGTTACGACATAATAGAGATGTTTCAGTATGATTAAATAGAACTTAAGTTATACTATTGTTCTCAGCTAACGTGGGTAACTATGAGTCCGGCCGAGAGCAGACTGCACAAAGTCCCGGAAACGCCCGACGTTCTGCAGGAAGCTACCAGGTTTGCTTTACACAGTAACTACCTACAAACTAGACACAGCGGCATTCAGTTTCTATAATGGTATTACGGTTTCCTCGTAGCACAAATTCTGTTAGAGGAAACACGGGTCGTATTAAACTCTTTTTAAATTACCAGTATTTTTGGCTTAATGAGTTATCATTATTATAAATGTAAAATATATGACGGATTGAGATCGGTTACATGGTGTTTATAAAATGTTGACGTCAGCGTCGTTGATGCCATGCTCTTCATCATTATCATTGCCTTCCATAGTGACAGTAATAAAGACTTACTTTTCCAATGTATTCCGCTTATTATATTTCAAGTGTATAGAGATATCAACAGAGAGCACCGCTCCGTTAGACAGCTCGAACCGGAATGTTCTGTGCACTTTTATTTCTCCCTACCTATGCTGATAGCCTTGATAGGCTATTTCAGCTTCTCCTTGACGTATAGGTGAGCTCACGGGGCTCAAACTGGGAGTGTTGCTAACACTGGCCCTAGCAAGAGCAATACTTCGCAGAATCTACCACCAGATCGGAAATGCGACCCACTGAGAAGATCCGGCGAGAAAATCAGTGGGCTGTCTCTATGGGTTAATTCACTTGTCGAGCCCTTCGTCGCAAGCGACGGGTTCGACAAAGACGGTGACCGGTGCTTGAGGTACCTAAAAGCACCGTTAATGGATCGGGAGGATCCGTAATGACGTGCTTTAGGCGACGTCGACTGTTTACCATTCGGTCAACAGGATCGGGTATGTAATTTCCGGCGGTCACGACAAGAGGGTTTTCATGTCGTGCCGCCTTCACGAAGTGACGCAATGAAGCCGACTGACTGAGTCAAGCTCCAGATCATCATGGAGATCCACGTTCCTTAGGAACCATGGTGCTCCGACCATGGGCTATCCTGCAAAAACGGGATTGAATGACTTGAAGAAGTTTCAATTGAGCTATTGTATGACAGATATCATTACCCTACCATTTAAACAAGAATGAAATTGCAGAAATTGGAAAGAAAGTGGTACACCTATGAGGGTGTTACATTCTACGGCTACCGATATGAAATATTTTTTTCCAAGTTTGATTTTTGTAAATAACCCAAATGTTATTCTTTCACTGTGAAAGTCATTAGTGAAAATAAACGGGTAGGTAGGTACATATTTGTTTAGAAAAAATGCGATCATCCCCTGAGATTCAAAAACGACGTGATCATACAAATCGATACGAGTACATCAGGCGTTTTATCAATTAGGCCACGCACGCTTCACCTTATTCGTAACATCCGAAACATGTAGTATCTTCCATTCATTGAAAGAATCGGTCCGTTCCTTAATATACAATATAAAAACCCTTAACGATTTTAATTTACGAAATGAATACTGAATGCCCTATAATCCACATCTACACTTTAACAAATTACAAGGAAAATTGTTAACCTTTTTTTCTAGCTAAAACCGTTTCCGACGATTTCTTTTTGGAAAAATTTGGTGGAGCGGCAATTTAGCAATGTTTTCCATCGTTAAAATATTTTTTTCTTAGTCTAGCAAATAACCCTGGTATCCGATAGAGGCACCTCTTTTATCCATTTTTTTGTAACCTACAAATTATTTCGGCTCAACTCCTAACGGCACAACCGTAATTTGGGCCGTGTTCGTGTACTTTTCAAACAAACGGCCGCTTTATGCTTGTTTCAAAAAGTGTATGAAGCTCGGCTTGCCTGGTGAAGATCATTTTGAAAACTGTTTTTTCACCATAACACGATGTACTCTCATCGCGTGGAGGGTAATAACCTTTTATTGTTTACCATAACGTTTTATCATGCATGAGTTTAATGATAATGCTGAAGCCTTTTACAGGTCGGTAACAATGCTGGGAGCCGCATGTTAACGGAGCTGAACCGGCCATTCGATTGAGTTACATTACTTTTTATGTTACATCAATATTTAGGATCATTACCGAATTAAAAGATCGATTTTCTTTAATGTCGAACATCAATTCAAACATAGTGTTTGCCTTTGTATATTCTTTAATACACAGACACGTGAAAGAGGTCATAACCAACCTAACTTCAAATGGCTAACGTAACTGATAGATGAATATGGATTTAAAAAAAAAACAATATGAATACCCTCCATCATAGTTCACGAGGTCTTATTCTCGATTGCAAAGCTTAGTGGCCACCCCGACTATTTGAACCGAAATGCAAGAGTGTTTGGTGGCAGAATTAGACAGGATGGTGATGCCTATCCATAAGGACTTACGTTTCTCTCGGGAGGCTATTATTTATATTTTCAGTAATTTTCACATTTATTATGCGACTTTTAATTGGAATTTAGAAAATCCTGTACTTAATTAGATCACTACTACAATGAGTAATACTGACGCGGTGGTTAGGACAATCGTTAGCGTCACTGACTGCTGGACCAAATCGTAGGTTCCATTCCCCCACATCGCGGAAACATCCGTGTTCATACGATTCAAATTCATGATCATTCAACATTCATGATCAGGTCTGTTTCATGTTCATCAGGGTGTTTTATCTCTATATATGTGGGTATATAGAGATAAAACTATACTATACTGAGACCTTAGAACTTCTATCTCAAGGCGTGTGGCGCATTTACGTTGTAGATGTCTATGGGTTCCAGTAACCACTTAACACCGGGTGGGCTGTGAGATCGTCCACACATCTAGGCAATAAAAAATAAAAAAAAATTTATCTTGAAACTTATAATATAAACGTGTATCAGTTTCCGATAGTACCTACAAGGGATCCTAGTTTTGACAAAATTACTGCGGGGCCTATCCTCGATTTAAAAAAAAAGATAAAAATGTAAGTTGAAAATAAATAAATAAATATTTACTAACAATCACGCCTTGTTAACTGGTCCCGTGATAAGTTCGTAAAGAACTTGTGTTACAGGTACCAGATAACGGAAATAAATGTAAGATTTTTATTATACACATACATATATTTAATATACATGGAAAAGACATTTATATTTATCATACAAATATCTTCCCTTGGCGGGATTCGAACCCGTATGTAGTGACCATGTCACTTACCACTACACCAGACAATAGTATATATAATATGTTATTTTATTTCAACCATCACCGTAAATTTCTATCTAAATGAATATTTTGTTAAAGCAGCAAACACACCATACGTGTTTGTAGTGCTCTTAGCTAAATTGTTTCCATTTGTGACTTCATAAACATAAACCCGTATTGCTTAACTTCGTTTAAGTATGATACATGCCAGCTAGTTAAATAAATTCGTAGTAGCCTAAACTTATTTTTATCAGTACTTTAAAACATTATACTTGCAACGAACACGAAAATTTATAATTTGTTCAAATTTTTTTTGCATAGATGTATGTGAGAATTCACGGCCCACATGTTATTCAGTGGTTACTGCAGCTTATAGACAACAACAACGTAACTCCGCCAGCCATCCTGAGTCACGAGTTCTAACTCTCAGTTTTTACAGTACAAAGACTGCTCCACCCTTCAAACCAAAACGCATTACTACTCCACGGCAGAAATAAGTAGGGTAGTACCTACCAGACGAGTAGATATTCCCGGAGATGAAATCCTGTCGTATCATCAGGACGGGTACCGGTAAAGGCGGACTTTCGACGCGCACTGCGGTACCGTGGGGTTGGTGAAGCCAGTGTGGTGGAGTGCGATGGGGTTTAGCAGGTAGTTGGTTTTGCGGGGCGAACGCTTCGCGCGTCTTTGTCAAGGCGCAGTCTCTTATGAGGAATTGGGGGAGGTGGAGGGCCTTGGTTCTCCTTGTCTCCCTCTTCCTCTTTGGAGGCGTCCGAGTCCGACATAACCCGGGCCGTTACCCCCCTCGAGACAGTATCCGTAAATGGATTCCCCAGCGTTAAAAAATAATGGGTGGTACCTACCCAAGTGGGCTCATAAGATGCCATACCACCATTATGTACCATCCGAGTGAGGAGGCTTTTTTACCCAATTTACCTAAACAAAATTTTTTTCTCAAAAAAATAGCTATGCAAAAACTACCCTCAATAAGTCCGATACGGAATGCACTATTACCGTGCAATATGAATAAATATATTTACTCACAGGTGGGCTGAAGCCTTGGAGAGCAAGGGCGACGCTCTTGCTGTGAGCTTTGATATCGCGAAGGCTTTCGACAGAGTCTGTCATAGGGCGCTTCTATCGAAGCCACTATCTTACGGAATCCCCGAGGGTCTCTGCAAGTGGATCGCTAGCTTTTTGAATGGGCGGAGCATCACGGTCGTTGTAGACGGTGACTGTTCTGATACCATGAACATTAACGCTGGCGTTCCACAAGGTTCGGTGCTCTCCCCCCACGCTTTTGATCCTGTATATCAATGACATGCTGTCTATTGATGGCATGCATTGCTATGCGGATGACAGCACGGGGGATGCGCGATATATCGGCCACCAGAGTCTCTCTCGGAGCGTGGTGCAACAGAGACGATCAAAACTTGTGTCTGAAGTGGAGAACTCTCTGGGGCGAGTCTCCGAATGGGGTGAATTGAACTTGGTTCAATTCAACCCGTTAAAGACACAAGTTTGCGCGTTCACTGCCAAGAAGGACCCCTTTGTCATGGCGCCGCAATTCCAAGGAGTATCCCTGCAACCTTCCAAGAGTATCGGGATACTTGGGGTCGACATTTCGAGCGACGTCCAGTTTCAGAGTCATTTGGAAGGCAAAGCCAAGTTGGCGTCCAAAATGCTTGGAGTCCTCAACAGAGCGAAGCGGTACTTCACGGCTGGACAAAGGCTTTTGCTTTATAGAGCACAAGTCCGGCCTCGCGTGGAGTACTGCTCCCATCTCTGGGCCGGGGCTCCCAAATACCAGCTTCTTCCATTTGACTCTCTACAGAAGAGGGCCGTTCGGATTGTCGATAATCCCATTCTCTCGGATCGTTTGGAACCTCTGGGTCTGCGGAGGGACTTCGGTTCCCTCTGTATTTTGTACCGTATGTTCCATGGGGAGTGCTCTGAGGAATTGTTCGAGATGATACCGGCATCTCGTTTTTACTATCGCACCGCCCGCCAACGGAGTAGAGTTCATCCATACTACCTGGAGCCACTGCGGTCATCCACAGTGCGTTTCCAGGGGTATTTTTTTGCCACGTACCATCCCGCTATAGAATGAGCTCCCCTCCACGGTGTTTTCCGAGCGCTATGACATGTCCTTCTTCAAACGAGGCTTGTGGAAAGTATTAAACGGTAGGCGGTGGCTTGGCTCTGCCCCTGGCATTGCTGAAGTGCATGGGCCACGGTAACCACTCACCATCAGGTGGGCCGTATGCTCGTCTGCCTACAAGGGCAATAAAAAATATATATTTAAAACGTCCACAGTCTATTTTATAAGATGCTCAATTTTCCCGTATCTATTCATATTATTATGACTATGCAGCGATTACAAATAGGTATACTCAAGTACTTTTTTAAAAGATATTTTACGTGTACGATTAAAGCTATGATCAGAGATTTCTCTATAACTACTCTTAAAATTTATAAGCACTTTGAAACTATCATAACTGAATATTTATTCAGTATACATATACAATGATTGCCAATTATTCTTGTCTCAATGAGCGTGGTGGTAGCATTCACATTCTGATGTCTATGGTCTTTAATAACCATTTCACACTAGGCTAGGCTAGACAAGGCCATGAGCTTGTTGATCCATATAAAGAAACAAATGAACTAAAGTTTCATTTATAATCTCACAGTACACTTCAGAAGCGGACGAGTCTGACTGGGAAACTTGTGACGTAACGCTGGAGCGGGGTGCGAGTGGTCTTGGGCTAAGCATAGCAGGGGGCGAGACAGACGGCGACGTCACAATCACCAGACTAGCAGCCGGAGGGGCAGCCAAGAAAGATGGCAGACTACAAATAGGCGATGTTTTATTGCAAGTAAGTATGTAACATGATTTTATTATTTATTTATGAGGCTTAGGCCCCTTAGGTTTTTCATAAATTTTTGTGACTTCTATTTATTATATTGTATTAGTTATTAAAAATATGTATTCTATTGTTATTAAAGGAAAAGCTTGTCCTTGGCTTCACGGTCCATTCAATGGGTTTCCATTAATTTTACATGTTACTTTTAAAACTCAAATAACAGTTATGGTTTCGTATCTGTATGGTAAGCCTCCATCACTATGCCTACTTCTACAGTAAAGCAGCTAGACACATTCTGATCTGCAGGATGGGAAAACAGTTATTGAAATTTAGACTTTGTCTCAATTAGAAATAGAATTTAACAAAGTTACTAATTTTGTGAAGCAATCATTTTGTCACAAATTTTAAAACTTTCTTCTGATTGCTCCCATAAAGCACGTACATTTAAAACAATAAAACAATGTACTGAATGAACTCACAGGAAACATCCCTTATTAAATAAAAACGAGAAAGACTGAACAAAAGCAGAGAGGAATATTATCTTTGTCGAAATTGTTAAATTAATGAAAACAAAACAGTACATTTTATGAGCTAATAAAATAAATTAAACGTCCTATAAAAGACGTCATAAATTCATTGTTTAAAGGTTACACAGAAAAAAAAAGCATTTTTAATGAAAAATGTTAGTTGCTTCACGCGATGTTGTGAAATTTGAAACGAATTTTCTGCGTATTGTTTCTTTCTAGGTATCTGATAGCTCGTGATTTATGAATCGGAAAATAATCAAAACATTAATACAACATGTAATGTTGCTTAATAAATAATAAAAATGGTCTTAGGAGCTGGTTAATAGCTCAGACACGCCAACATCTCACGAACGTTAATCTCAGCTACATCAAATAAAGCATGAATTATTTCGTTCACCTGTAATATCCATAATTCTAATTGAATATTCATGGCAATTAATCATAAACCTCACATTAAGTACCCCGATAACCTTTGTAGAGTTCTTCGACAAGGAAGTTCGAAGCACCTACACGATCCCAATGAAGCCGTCTAGATGTGAATTATCTCTAAACTACATGCAATAAAGGAAAGATTATCATCTATACGATTAACGAAATCATCCTGCTTTATGCCCCGTCCCTAGGATTGAGATCTTTATTGATACTAACAAAAGGCCTAATTTGCAACGTCTTACGGTTACCGTGCTAATTTAGGTCGTTAGATCCTTATCTTGTGTACTGAATTTACTATGAATGTCCTGAAGCTTTGTATTTTGAGGTGATGAAGTAAAATTTTATTCATGGATATATCCCTTAATTTCATTATTGTTTTGTTATTTTAATAAAAATATTCAAAGATTCCACTTTTTACTTGGCACTCTAGGAAGATGAGCATAGAGCGAGCTCACAGTCCACCTGATTTTAAGAGGTTATTGGGGCTTATAGTCTTAACTTAAATGCCTCCACCCACCCTGAGTCCTGAGTTCTAAGTCTCAGTTTTATAGTACACCAGCTATGCTACTCTTCAAACTGAAACGCATTACTGTTCACGGTAGAAATATGCGAGGTGGTGGTACTTATCCGTGCATGCTCACAAGACGTCCTACCACATTGGTAAAAAAAATATTCAAAGATAAAGGCCAAATAAACAGATACATCTACTGGTATTTTCTGAATTTATTTAAAATTAATTAAAACGCAGGAAACTATAACACAAAAGCCTTTAGATGTAAAGCTAATTAGTATGTCAGATAACTACATTTTATAAGCATGAAAATGATAAAATCGCAGGAAACTAGAACACAAAACCCTTTAGATGTAAAACTAATTAATATGTTGGATCAAATTGCATCTGCGTTAAATAAAATTAAAACTACTGAATAATTTGGTTCACAAATGTTTGTCGTACAGGTTAATGACATCTCCGTGGAGGGTGCGTCGCATTCTGTCGCAGTGGATGCATTGCAAAAAGCGGGCAACGTTGTCAGATTAGTGAGTTAAAAAAAAGTACTCTGCATGCCCTTACAAAACCTATGCGCTTTAATTAGGCAAATTTAGGGTTTAATTAAAAAGGTGCGGGAAGTAAACGACGTATTTTTGGGATTTTTCCACGGAAACAGGTAACTTTAAAAAAACTATCTGATGGTTCCATCAAAATATGAGAGTTTAATAGAAAATAGAGACTACAGGATCAGTACGGTGAAGTGTTAACGGACGGAGCGCGTGGCTCGTAAATACAAAAGGAGACGGCCGTAAATGTTTTGGAGTGGAGATTCAATGTAAAGCGCAGCGTGAAGTATCAGGCCGCCGTAACGCTAATGATTTTATCCACTACTTTTTATTTGTAGGAGCACTTTTATAAGAGAAATTTGTGGAGCGTATATTTGCAAATATTTGGTACAATCTTCGTATAATGAGTTTCTGTACCTCAAAGCACCGGTCATCGTCCTCCTCGAACCCATCGCTTGAGACGAAGGGCTCGACGAGTAAATTAACCCATAGACACAGCCCACTGTAGTTTCTTGCCGGATCTTCTCAGTGGGTCGCGTTTCCGATCCGGTGGTAGATTCTGCGAAGCACTACTCTTGCTAGGGGCCAGTGCTAGCAACACTCCCGGTTTGAGCCCCGTGAGCTCACCTATTCGCCCGGTTACGCTGACATAGCCTCTCAAGGCTATCGGATTAGGTAGGAAAAACAAAAAGTCTGTTTCAATAGTGTCCACAAAAAAATGTTCCTTTTTTTCAAAATTGTTTTGTTTATTTCACAAGCGAGTTCGCCGTGCCCGAAGACCAAGGGTGGTGTCGTTGTGGCGTGGCGTTCGCGGCCTCGGACTCGGTATAGCGGGAGGGTCTGATGACGCGGCTGGAGGAGGAGGCGTTTTTATATCACATATAGCCGTCGGTGGTGCAGCACATCACGACGGCAGACTGAGATTAGGCGATAAAATACTTGCAGTCAGGGATGAAGATGTGAGTTTATTTGGACCGCCCTGAGCTAAATGATTCATGGTTCTAACTAGCTTGGTCTATTCCTGATATTTAAATGATTTTACGGCCCACTAAGTCTACACTTAGTAGGCCGTAATTTTGGTAATTATTCTACAATAATGACCAAAATCTATAGACATCACAAATTTAAACACACCTGGCGACAAGAGGTCTAAGTTTCAATAGCGTTTCAATCCTTACAATTACCAGACGTTGGTCCGCGTGGGTCCTACCTAACCTACCTAAACTAGTAGTAAATGTCGATTTCCGATCGCAAGAACCTGGTGTTATATTCAGAAAATACCACTACTCCCCGGTGAACTTCTTATTTGCTTTTACGAGGGAAGAGATGGAGCAGCGCCATACAATTTAATGCACAAAACGAAAAGAAGACTGATTGAAATGCTTGTTAATTTTTATACGATTGATTTGTCCAGGGAATCGAGACATCGCTTGTCGGTGCGACTCACGCACAAGCAGTGTCTGCACTTCGGAATACAGGGGAGCAAGTTACCTTAGTAGTATTACCAGCCGGTTCGGTACCGCCCGTTGCCAAAACCGCACCGCTTTACACTAGTGAGTGTATCTTTATTTTACATGTAAACAAAAGTGGACTTTCCTTATTACTATTTTTATTCTTATCGGCGAATTTTGCCACGTTTGCGCTACTGGAAAAATAGTTTTTTGTAACATGGAATGTTAATACTGCATTGACGGAAATGAAAGATATGGGGTTAAGTGAATTAAAGGTTTTGTGAAATTTATTTCTTTTTAGAAATACGGAACAATATTACAAATAAAAAAGGACTTATTATTTCGTTTCTTTGTTATACAGAGCAATATAATAGAGCTTAAATATAACTAATAAAATTAGAACTAAGAGACATTATACACATTTGAAGAAGTAAGTCAGAATGTTAAATAGGAGAACAATACTTCATTAGCATTAATGCCTTATGCTCTTCAGTCGGATTGGATCTGACACTGACGATGTTAATTAATTACAATGCTTATGCTTTAACGCTTAATTTCAATTTGAGCGCGATTTGTACAATAGTTATCTACTCTACCCACATAATGACAGTAGTTTGATATTATCTTTTTCTCAATCCACAATCGTTTTTCAAATATTTATCAGCAATAATTGACATATTCATACATACTTTGAAGAGTCTATAGAAGATACGTTTTTACTACTTTTTCCTATAATATCTAAATATAGGAACAGGAAGTATCTTGAGCAACCATTGCAGGCATGAGCCTATTTCTGCCACGAGGTCATTTGACCCTCTATAGTAAAAAAATATATCGCAGAAAATATTTATTAAATATAAAACAAGCAAGAATTTATCATATTGCATTATAGGTAAAATATTTTAAAAAAACTATCGTTTATCAATGCTTCGACATTTAATTAGTTATTTTAATAAAATATAATCTGTGGTGTCAGATTTTCCAATTAATATTCCCAAACGAGATCCAGTATTTTAATTACCTAACGTAAAGCAGCGTAAAGCTTGTTATCTGATATACATATTATTTTAATAAAAGAAAAATGATTAAGAATTGCTAACATATGCACAGAAGTGTCTTAAGTGTGTTTATTTTTTTCTTTTAAACTGAATTTGTTTGTTAAAACAGCGAGAACACAAGCTACTTCGTGCTCAACACTGCACGAACTTCTTGAGGAGGAGCCAAGTGAAATACCGAGGTAAACTTTAGCTTTTCAATCTAGATTTTGTTTTTCTCTTTTTAAATTACTTTAACGTGTCGACTTTTGGCACCACTTCGACTTAAGCGTTGAGTTTTGTGTAAACACCCCCTTTTTGGCAACAAATTCTGTTATTGTATTTATGTATGTAAGTATGTCTGAGTTATAAAAGTTTTTAAAACACCATAAAGCTGTTTTAGTGTATGTAATAAATTGTTTTAGTATCTCACTTAAGTAATATGCTTGTGCTGTTAAATTCTCAAAAAGATATTTCACTGTAAATAACGTTCGACATATTCAGTGAAAGTTTGAATGTGAACTTTTTACAACATTTTCAAACTCAGCTCTTGTCTTTGAAAAGCGTACCTTATTAATATCATTATAACTACATTAACTAAGTAAGTTAATTCCTTAACGGAATCCGGAGCAAATTCTGAACGCTGTAAGCTTAAATTTTGTCTCTTTTCGTTAATACTATAAAACTGTTAGGCTTGCTTGTGGAGTCTTTGTATCTTGCTACGAACTTTAATTAACTATTCAAGATAAGTAGGATGCTTTCACCTTTCGCTGCATTCAAATATAAAATCCTTTATACAAATTAACATTGAACATACAATTAACATTAATTTAAAACTTATTAGGATATTTCCAATACAAAATCTGTTTTTACGTAACAGTAAGTTTTGTTATAATAAAACTGAATTCCGTAAATTATTTAGATCATAGTCAATGTAATACCTATAGGTATTAACGTGTATCTTAGACAAAAGGCGACCCTTGTATTTCGAAATTTTTAATAATGTCTATTTATTTGTTTATTTATCTGCACCTCGTTTTCTTGTCCATTAGTTTGTGTCAAAAAAATACAATCGAGATTTTTTTTTTTTATGAATTAGTGACTTGAAATTTTGCAAGCAGACAAAGCCATATAGGGCAGTTAATATCACTAGTTCACTTAAACAATATTATTACTAAAGAAATATTTACTACTTTTGAAATAGACTGAATGAGAAATTTTGAGAATTTCACAAATGTTTTGAAACTTCATATAACGCGGGGTGCTTACAGTAGATAATACTGAGTGAGAAAAGTAGCTATTGTGGAGAAAACGTAGCTCATATCATGATTTAGAGCGAAACAGTTAGAAACTATCCGTTCAATAGACGAGCTTTTCCTGTACATATCATACATACAGCCGTGGTCAACTAATTAGGGACATTCAAGATAGTGAAGGGCTATAACCGGTTATGTACATTTAAATATAAAACCCTATTGATTTCTCAGCACCTATTATTTGCATAATGTGGTCCGATTATTATGCTATAAAGGGCTGTAAATAAAAGATTTAATAAATAGAAAAAGTATTTAATATCAAAGATTAAACATGTATTAAATATTAAGGTACAATTCTGTAGTGGACATTTAATTAAGGACAGTAAAGTATAATGAAAAATACAGTTACACAAAACTTATAATCTTCAGTGTTATAATATCTTTAACAGCTCCATTTTATTACGTGTAAAATCAGTACCCAGTAGCAAAACCTTTGTTAGTAATTACCGCTTGACACCGATGTGGCATAGACATTATCAGTTTCTGACATGTTTCGATAGGAATGTTTGCCCATGCCTCACAAAAAGCTTCATGAAGTTCATCCAAATTTGTATTACGATAAGTGGCAACTTTTTTCTTGATTTCGTGCCAAAGGTGCTCAATTGGGTTGAGGTCCGGGCTATTTGCTGGCCAATCTAGCACCGATACAAACTGACTGGTAAGAAACGACTTGACTGAAAGGGCGGTATGTTTCGGGTCGTTATCCTGCTGAAACGTCCATATAATAGGGAGATGCTCCTCAGCATAGGGAAGCATAGTTTCTTCCAATATCGTCTTGTATTGATGTTGGTCTAAGTTACCCTGAACTTTCCTCACAGGTCCCACTCCACGTCCAGAAAATGAACCCCATATTTTAATGTTTCCACCGCCATGTTTCACCTGTTTTTTTGTGAATCTTGGATTCATTTCCGCTTTTACAGGACGCCGTACATATTGCCTTCCATCTGAAGAAATCAAATTAACCTTGGTCTCGTCAGAGAAAAGTACATGTTGCCATTGGGCGTAGGTCCAATGTCCATATTTACGTGCAAATGCCAAACGAGCATTTCTATGTTCTTTCTTCAACAACGGTCCTTTGCGAGCCACTCTTCCGAACAACCCTGCTTCTACCAAACGTCGTCGAACGGTTCTCGCAGATACACCGGCTCTTTTGTTTGCCCCAAACACTTTGTGTTTAATTAAAATAGAGCCTAAAAACGGATCTTTCTTAGCTAACCTGGTTATCATTCTATCTTCTTGCGGAGTCGTTTTTCTCGATCTTTTTGTTCTGAACACATTTAAAGCTGTGTTATAGCGCTTGAAATGTTACACTGCATTGCATACCATACTTTTTGAACAATTTAAATGTTGTGCTATCTTTCGGTATGACCAACCACGCTCGACAAACTTCATGATAATTTTTCGTAGTGTTGGATCGCAACTTTTATTTTTGCCCATTTTTCTTCAAAATAATTCTCAAAACTTAAAATAAAAAATCTGGATTGCCGCCAAAACGTCCACTAAACAATAAGAAAAGAAACAAAAAAGTATTAAAATTCCAATTATGAAATTAGAACGCAATACCTCAGTGTCCCTAATTAAATGGCCAGCCAGCATTCTTTGAACCAGTAGCACTATGATATTGTATCAGCTATACTGTAAAGAGGTTTAATGTTTAAGAAGTTGTTATTGTTTGTATAATCGCGCACATAAATGACTAATTACACTTACATGTAAAAGATATGGAATATTGCTAAGACTCGTTGGAAAATAAAAAAAATATTCACAATTTGGCTTAACTAGAGATTGTCCCTAATTAGTTGACCACGACTGTATATTAACTGCACCGTGCTTTACAAAGCGAGATAAAATATTATTGTACTTTATTTTTAATATAGACTTTTTACTAACTTATGTGTCAAATTAATTATCGCACCTAAATTTACATTAATTTATAGATGACTTTTGTGAGATTTACGGGATACATTACCTCGCAGATGTGTTCGGATGGTTCGCTTGGTCCGTTCTGGATCGCGGCTAGGTATGGACATCGTAGGCGGTCTTGGCGGTGACTCTGAAGGGATTGAAGGCGAGGAGGATACGTGTGGGGTATTTGTTTCGGGAGTATCCGTGGCTGGAGCAGCTTACGGCATGCTGCATAGAGGGGACAGGATACTAAGCGTTGATGGACGTGATTTAACAAGAGCCACTCATGAACAAGCTGCCGCTGCGTTGAAGGTTTGTATTTTGCTATTGGACTGAGTAAACCTCATTAATAATTTTTTTGTCTGTTGCTTATATGGGTGGTGTTAAGTGGTTACTGGAGTCCATAGACGTTTACAACATAAATGTCGCCACCCACATCGAGATATAAGTTCTAAGGTCTTAGATTTAACAGTACAACGGCTGCCTCACCCTTCAAACCGAAACGCATTACTGCTTCACGGCAGAAATAGGCAGAGTAGGTAGGTAGGTACTTACCCGCGCGGACTCACAAGAGGTCCTACCACCAGTAATTACGCAAATTATAATTTTGCGGGTTTCATTTTTATTATACGATGTTATTCTTTCACCGTGGAAGTCAATCGTGAACATTTGTTGAGTACGTATTTCATTAGAAAAATTGATACCCGCCTGAGATTCGAACACCGGTGCATCGCTCAACACGAATGCACCGGACGTCTTATCCGTTAGGCCACGACGACTTCAAAATGTGGCACTGGAGATTTCTATTGGAAATCCTTTAGACGGACTTTCATACTAACAACTCCGTTACAAAAACCTCAAGATTAAGAATCGCTTTTTGTTGAATGCGCAAAAACAACAATTTTTTGTCTGGTTGCGCAGAAACGTGTGCTCCAAGGCCAGATTATAGGGAAGAAATTGAGTAGATTGCTAGATTTTATAAAAATACCTCTAGCTATGGTCAGGTACTTCCATTATTATCAGATTTTTAAATACTTACTAAAAGGTTTAAATTCTTAGAAACTTAGTAATTTGATGTATACAAATTTTTTTTATGGTATCTTCTTAGTTTATTTTATTATTTTTTGTCTTAACTAATATTTGCTAAGAAAACAATTTAATTTAAATTATAAAAACTTTTGAAAACCGAATGAGAAAAATATATGACGGTACGGTAGTTCCTATAATTTCCATTTATTGGATTAGCTTTAAAATTCAACAAAGCAGTTCAAAAATTTGTGACAAAAAAATTTTTTACTCTAAAATCGTTCTGGGACAAAATCTAAATCTGTTTACAGAAGAGTCCATATTATTATAAAATATGTTTCGGTTAAAAGCGAATCCGTTTTTATGCTGCTAATTTCGAGATTTGTATTTTCAAAGTGTAGAATCGTTATTTATTTGATTGCTCTTCACCAGACAGCTGTTTCAGGCTTGCGGAGTGAGCGTCTGGGTTTGCGGAGGGACTTCGGTTCCCTCTGTATTTTGTACCGTATGTTCCATGGGGAGTGCTCTGAGGAATTGTTCGAGATGATACCAGCATCTCGTTTTTACCATCGCACCGCCCGCCACCGGAGTAGAGTTCATCCATACTACCTGGAGCCACTGCAGTCATCCACAGTGCGTTTTCAGAGATCTTTTTGGCCACGTACCATCCGGCTATGGAATGAGCTCCCCTCCACGGTGTTTCCCGAGCGCTATGACATGTCCTTCTTCAAACGAGGCTTATGGAGAGTATTAAGCGGTAGGCAGCGGCTTGGCTCTGCCCCTGGCATTGCTGAAGTCCATGGGCGACGGTAACCACTCACCATCAGGTGGGCCGTATGCCCGTCTGCCTACAAAGGCAATAAAAAATAAATAAAAAAATGCATTCTGTTATAATTCATTCAAAAATAGACCTTATGCGCACAGTATTCTGGGAGTGCAGTGACGATAGCTGCACAATACCAACCGGAGCAGTATGAAAGACTAAGGGCGCGGATACGAGCAATCAATGCAGCTGCGATGTCGCCTCACGCCGTACATGCCACCCATGTTCCTGTACATCCGGACTTACACACCATGTACCCAAGGTAAGTTAATCGAAAACAAATATTCTTTTATATTATAAAATATACACTTATACTATATTTTTTTTAAATCAACTTGATTAATACCGTTAAGTAATAGTAAAGTACAATGTAAGCTGTTTTAAAATTGAACTAGTGGTCCCTCAGTTGTCGAAATTCGAATTTAATTAATTGATATTATAAGTTTGAACATTATTATGGGTCTATTGTCATAGACTATTTAACTTCTATAATTACAGATTTCGCCAAGACTACACTATTGACAAATAATATTAAAGATAAACAATAATAATTCTTTATCATTTTTTTCTTATTGAGTAGGTAGACGAACAACCTCATGCCCCTCCTGGTGTTTGACGAAGACATATTTACGTGAATTCCAATACCGAACTTGAGACCTGAAATCTAAGTCCCAATTGGAAAGCATAACGGCTATGAATAGGCTGTGAATAAGAGAGGAGTGAGTGAAGAAATGGTATATGATAGAGGAGTGTGAAAGGAGAAATGATGAATGGCTGTGAAATAGACAGGATGATGGTACCCTTTTCGGTTCACAAGCTATTGTTACATCACTAAAAATCTTACTCTACTACTACAATATCATTATAGACTTGGAACTAATTACTACTGTAATT